AGACGATCTTGTACCGCTTCATGGTTATCGGGGTTAGAAAGGCTTGGTTGTCCTGAGAGCCGATCTGAGATTTGATCCCCGGATCGCGCGCTACTGCAGTATTTTGTCAAGCGGAATACCATAAATAATACCAGTGTTAATAAATATTTGGTGTTAAAAGGTTATCAAATAATGAATGAACCCCAAGCTGCAAATCGTTTCGAAGCTCATGTAGTTTGGTCTAATCGTTTCGAAGCTCATGTAGTTTGGTCTATGTGTAAATTTTTTTACTGGCAATAAGCTTGAGGTGTTCACGCTGACATTTTAATTTACGGATTTTTCGCAGTCCTCACGCACAATTTTACATCAGTTCTGCTGACAAATTGGAGAGGCTAGTCGGAACTCTGAGCGGGCGAAGCCAGCAGACCACGTTACAGGGCCACCCCTGCTCTTCTTATATTTACTGTGGCGGCAAAGAAGTCACGGGTAGAGCGGGCGCTACCAATGAAACCTACTGGCTCCGCTCACCTGGCAATCCGTGACAGTGTCCTTAAGGGCACATCGTTGTTGGGGATTCCCCAACAGGGGAGAGAGAGGGAGGGGATCATATTCGAACTGAGAGAGAATCCTTTTGTTTTTTTTTCTTGTTACAAAGACGTTGTAAAGGGGGAGGGGTCGTGTTTGCTCGCTGCTGGAAGAGGAGGAGGGGGTCGTATTCCCTTTTGAGCTTCTGAGAGATGTTGCTGACTTCACGGTTTTTCCTATTTCATGTGTACTGTATACCAAACAAATGGTAGAGAGGAGTCCCACACACCCTCCCGCTTGACAGATCGGCGAGGAGGGAACCAAAAGGGGGGAGGGTCGTACCAACCCTTGAAAAGGAGGAGGGGATTGTGCGGACCGAACCGAATTCCGCAATTAATGATGTGCCCTGGTGTTTTCAAGCTCGTATCTTGGGCTCGAGTTAAAGGCCTCCTGAATTGTCGTAATATCGCGCTCTTTCCCGTGTTTACGGTCATATCACATGGGTGTGAACCCGTTTTTCATATGGTTGTTTCCTGGGGATTTATGTTTTTACAAATTCTTGAGTATTATTTTACTTCTTCTATTGTTATGATCCGATTTGCCTAAAATTTCTGTACATTGGGTTTAGTAGAGCTACTTGTGAATACTGGGTTTTTTTAAACTGAGTTATTGCTGCATGCGTCGCAGTGGGTACGATTTTCATCCATTACAGGATCCGTGGTCAGTCGGATCGAGTCGTCCACCGCTGTTCTCGCAGTCATTGACCGGCGGCAGCTTAAAGCCGTTGCGTCCCTGTCACACAGCCGACGGTCGATTTCGATCGAATTTCAGTGGTAACTTCTCATTATAATGGATGCTTCCCTGTGGAGCAGTAAAAGTCTGCCGCTTACATATGTCCATTACAGAGTCTGAGTTTGGAAAAAGCAATGTGCCATTGAACTTTTCCGCCTCCATGGGACCTATAGCTGGGATGGCTAGAGCACGGCCACGAAGTAATACTCCCACATACAACACAGCATTCGGTGCCACCACTCCTCTGAGAAAGGTAAGCGAATTTTTGAAATGAAATTGCAAATACTCTTAAGTAGCCAATATTCTTCGTGTAGGACTCAGTCGGTTCAACAGAATGGGGATCGTCCTTTGCAATCAATAATTCTGATGGCAGCCAATCCTTCGGCGGCAATCTCATGCAGGTATACTAGAATTAGTTTCGATTTACTTGTATTTTAATGCTATCTTTCGTAGTGTGACATCAAGTGGTGGTCCTGAGCCTAAGTGAACCGAAAGCACACTTTTGATTTCCTCAAAATCCAGCGATTACAGCCTTTTGTTCAAAATTTTGTTACCAGTATACTTCTCGAGCATAGTGGAAGCTGACCTTTTCTACAACCAGGGCCCATAACCATAAGGAGACGATTCTTCCGAGCGCGATTACCGTCCCAGCAGCTGAAATCCGACCCTCTTCTCGTCCTCACTGTTAAATAAATCATCAACACTGATGTGGTAATTGACTGCAGCACTTTATTTGAAGTAATAGATCGCCTGAGCAATGCGATTCGCAGGCTTTGGGAATGAAATTTTCTACCACCTCTATTGATATAGTGAGGAGCAACCGCTACGCAACCGCACGCTGTGTTTGCACCTTTGTACACTCCATGTTCCGGAGACAAGAAAGGCATGGATGTTTACTTTATATGAACGTGGGGGCGGCTGCGCCTTTGGCGGTACACTGGCGCCTTGGGACATCTGTAATGTCCAGCACAAGACAGGATGAGAGTTGTGTCCCTAGGAAATAGTTCACCGAAAAAGCAGCCTATGCCATGTTTTGTTGAGGTAGGAAGCCACGCCCTCCCCATCGCAGGGATAAGGAGCGTAAGTGCACCTCATGCAGTCACCCCTTTGGACTGCATTAGCTTCATTCCCTTTGTAAGGTGTTTGAAATTTACGGGAGTGGACCATCCAGGAAATTGTAATTTCGATGTTCGTTTGAACCTAGCGCTTCAGATTCGTGTAACCTATGAACTGGCGTTTTTTTTCCAGGCGACAATAAGCGAACATCGCGTACCTATCGCTATGGCCATCAATGAATATTCACATGTGTGGTTCAAGAGCGCCAATGTTGAAGAGTAAGTTCTCCTCTCCCCTTTATATTTCTTTCCCTTCATTCCCTTCATCTTTCTATCTGTTATGAAAATTCGAGTTCTACGGCTGTTGTGTTCCTTGTGCTTCCATGAAATGCGTTCTCAGTCCTGGATTGTTTTAAGTTTCCACTTTCACACTAACCAAGTTTTCCTCAGCTTTCTTCAACCATTTCCATCCCCCCCCCCCTCGCCACAGTGGTCCCGTACCAGATCCGGCAGCAAGAGCTAGAGAGTGTAGCGCGATTAATGCAAGTGGAATCAGGTTTGCTGCATAACTGCTCCTTTG